AAACTTCAAGACCACGGCCACACAGCCCGGAAGACCCACACCAGCCATCGTATGCCAGCCGTGAAAGCCTTCGACAATACATCAGCTCTAAATTCTTTACAAAATGCTTACCAGAATTTGAAGGAGGAACAAGATATAAAATCATGTTTAAAGGACCCAAAGACTATATAGTGAACAACTCCTGATTAAACCATACTGTAGCAGCTGAGTTTGAGTGTCTGCAGATGAAGAGTTGCTGCTCTGATGAAAGAGAAGGTGTGGAGTTTGGAGGAGAAGTTGAGGGAGATGTCAGAGGACAGCAAAGAGTCTCTATTTTTCTCTTTCTCCTTTTCTTGTAGTTGAACACTGCAAAGTGATCATTCTTGGAAACTCCCCTATTTACTCTGAACTTTGTCTTTCTCTCACTGAAGTGAATAATGGGGTAAATTCTCAGAGAGGATTGATTGATCTCTATCTGGTTGCTTTATAAACCACCTCAAATATCCTTTGTGAGAATCTCCCCATGAATTTCCAATTGCTTTGTTATCTGATTGGTTTCTGTAATATTTTTTCAAGTATTAATAAGTTGTACAAATTGATTTAGGGGTTGGGGTTTTTTTGGTCTTTTACAAAGCACCAGCCCTTTTAATAACCTAGAGAATTAGAGTCCAAACAGAACTGGTGTTCTTGGAGGCTTCAATTCATAATATCTACCATAAAAATATTTATCAAAAACTATTCAAGGGAGTGCCATTGTTCAACAAAGCATGAAATGATTGCAGAATCTCTCCGATTGGATCTAATTTCAGGTTTTCTGGGTGGTCTGGATAGTCTTCATCTCTATACACCTGTAAGGAAGTTCACAATTGCACACAAAGACGGATGTGGTGGAGGGACCCCTCTGACTTTCTTATGGGGGAGTCCCTCAGCCTTTCCCCACAATCCCTCTTGTTCAACCCTCCAATATCCTGGCAGAGCCTCTTTGACTAGGACCATATTCCTATTTTTGCAGAGAAATGTCCTTCACTCCAGAGGAAAAGAGGGGAAACAGATGCTTCTTATTCTTACTTCCAGTGAGGTTGTACCACTGGAATTCTGCTCCGTGAAGCCAAAATGAAATTCAGTGCTCTTCACAGAGAAACAACACTGCTCCATCTTTCTAGAGATTTATAAGTAAATGGACAGCTAACTAAGAGAAAAATCTTTCCTTACCTTGTGGATAGCTATTAGTATGTTTTGCTAGAGTAACTCTGCCTCAAGGGGATAGATGGGTCACTTGCCAAGGAGAAGAAACCCTAAATCCATATTGTGAAAAATGAAGTCTCCTACCAGTTAAGCTCTATTTTGGTGAGTTGATGGAACATCCATGTCCTTTTCTTCATTCTTGCCTTCTTCCAGATCTTTTCCATCCATGTGCTAACCTGACTTCCTCCTATATAACATATCAGCACAGAGACTGTTGGCCACATGCTGCAATCACCATTTGGAGTCTCCAGCCCTACAGAGACTTTAGAGCAGGGCAAAGAAATCAAATGGAGATTGTCACTGGGCAAAGGAAGACCTTGAGAAGAAGGGCAGCCAGCAGGTGAAGGGTCAGGACAGTCACATTGTCTGATATACCACACAGGTCAGGGGAAGGGAAGGGAAGGGAAGGGAAGGGAAGGGAAGGGAAGGGAAGGGAAGGGAAGGG